CGAAAACTGCAGGGACTTGACTTGAAGGCACACACATGGAACCCCTTGGCCCTCCTGATCAAGCTTGTGAATTTTGGAAAATGAATTTGGAAATTGACACAGTTCACAAACGGCCTGGCCTCCTGAAGAAAGGAGGCAAAGAAGAAAACCTGCAACCCCGCACCCTTTGCATCGCGATTTTGCTGATGATGGCCCTTAACATTTCTCCCCCTCCCCAGTTCCCTTAACATAATCCTTTGACCCCTTTTATCAGAGTAAACTCCTAATGTTCCATTTCTAACTTCTGTTTTTTGCAATTTCACGGGTGGTCTTCAAAAGAAAGGGCTAATGGATGATGGAAGGCCTTGTTGCTGTGGCTGATGGGAGTTTTGGTTTAACATACGTGCTGGGGAATCCTGGGACTTGAAGTCCACACATCTTAAAATTGCTGAGGTTGAGAAACCCTGGATTCGGGAAAGGTGGTGTATGTCATAGGTCCATTCCTGTTCTTGATTTGCAGGCGGCCTGTGAAGGAGAAAGTCTCAGCCCAGCCTGCAAATGGAACTGTGATGCAGTCCCTAAAACGGAAGAAAAAGGGCTTCCTGCCAGCCACCAAAAAACGCCAGAACCGCAAGAAGGTCCAGCCCGGTCAGTCCCAGGAGAACGGTGCTGAGGGTAGACGCAGAATCCCTGCTCCTGGCGAGGCCAAGGTTCCCTCGGAAGGAAAGAAGAAAAGGAAGAGGAGAAGGAAGCGAGCGGCAGAAGAGGGCAAGAGGGAAACGTCTGAGCAGGGTCCTCCAGCAAAGAGGGGGGCTCCGTCCCCAGGGATCGCGAAAGGGGCTGCTGGGCCACGTGGGCGTTTGAAGAAGAAAAAGCAGCAGCAACGCAAGGAAAGGAAGAAAGGGGGGAAGAAGAGTGGGACTGCCTGAATATTGGGGAAGGACGGGATGCTTTCATCAACTTCTGGGGAATGTGTTTTGGAAGTTGCAGGGGGAATCTTCTTCTGGATTCCAGCCAGCAGAATTAAAACTGACCTCTAGTATTCTGATAGTGAAGGACTCAATTGCTTAACAGTCTTGGGACTTCAGTCCTAGCTGTGATGCCAGGAACCATCTGGGATGGCTCTCCCCAAAGAGCCAAGCTGCAAACAGTGTAACGCATTCTGATTTTATAAGAAAAAGAGGTGTGTGCATGTGTGAACGAGTTTCATTTGATCCCGGCAATGTAATTCATAAGCTGCTCCTGGAAAAAGAGCTCCTTTGGGGCAACTCCTTCTAATGCCTGGATCAGTAACATATCCTTGGTTTTGATAACAGAAGGTATCGAGTTATGATGTTGAATATATGTAACTTTGGTAACTTGGAGATAAATTACAGAAGTTATATTTCTTAATAAAAGATAAAAATATATTTTTAAATCTTTATAAAATTAAAATGACATGCCGTGGCCCAGATGTGTTCAAAACGTTTCCAATTACTGTTTGCATCTCTGTCTTAGAATGGATGAAACCTCTTACAATAAATAAACAATATGCAAGTTCAGAGAAAGCAGCCTATGATCAAAACCATTGTCCAAGGATAGTCTTTTTTTTTTAAAAAAAAGCTAAAATACGAACTAAAATATGGACTGATAAGGCTGCAATTAATTAATTTAATTAAAGAGCCACTTGGTACCTTATTTCTATATTTCAGTAATTTTCAAGACTTTAGGCTGCTTTTTATAAGGTAAAAAGGTATTGAAACAGTTTTTTATATTTATATTCTACATTCAGTAACTTCTATTTCAGTGGATACTATTCCTCTGTGTATCTACTTAGAAATAATAGCCATTCATTTCAGTACAGCTTGCTCCATGTTAAGTAGCAATAAGATAGTAGTTCTAATCTTTTATCTAAATCTTTGATCAACTTGATGGCGCCTAATCAGTCAATAATCAATCCTGAATGATCCAAAAATTCACTGCGGGTCCTTCAACTTTTATGGGTTCAGTGCCTGTTAATAACATGGCCGGGTGTTCCTAAGTAACATATCCATCACCAGGGCAGATTGATGACTGAATCCTGGTGTGGTAAAAGGGGTGAATATTCCTGCATATAGAACTCTTAGCACATCAAGGATTTTATCTGCAGCTATTTTTAAATATATATATATATTTTGCAATTGAGCTGAGCAGGTAGGTATAATGGGCACATACTCAACTGTTACTATTACTGTTACTATTTATTAAATGTTTATGCTGCATGATTCCGAACGACTCTGAGCTGTTAGTAGCATTTAACAATACACTAATCTGGGCAGTGTACTTCAGAAATGTATTTATTTTACAACAGTTTATACCTCCTTATCCCATCAGCTTACAGTCACTTAGAGCAGTTATTAGACATCATCTCCCTTCCAACGGTCCTTTTGCATTACGCTTCTCTGTTTTGGGATTAGATTGGATGCTAAGGTGAGGGGAAGCATAGGAGAATGGCACAAGACCATTAGGTCTCCCCTTCTTCTTTTCAAGTTTTCTGATGAACCATCCTCAGCAGTACCATGGAGACAAGTCTATTCTTGTGCGTATTTTGAAGGAAACAACTCATTTCAAATAGCTAGTAAATTGATCTAGCCAGAGGTATGCCAAAAAGCAGACTGGATCTGGGAAATGTGTTTTTCTGCTCCTGAAAAACCCAAGAATGCCTGCTTGCATTACCTAAAACAGAGTTTTCCAACTTCATATTCTCTAGATATGCTGGGGGCGAGAAGTCCCAAGGTTGCAGAGAACCTTAAGAGATGTCCCATCGTGTCTTATGGGGTACCAGCTGGCCTGGAGGCTTAGCAATGCCTATAACTTGCTCTCAAAATGTAATCTGTGCCTCCCAAACCAGCTGGGGAGACACTAGACTAAAACAGTAGTGTTCCAGGTTCTAATCCCTCATTCCCATCTAAACATACAATGATTGGTAACAGTTTGTGACATTTGTTCTATATTGTGTTACTTATGGGGTATAGAGTCTTTGGACTGTTGAACATGAGGAGAGGCTTTCTGAAGAAGACCAAAGGCCCATCTAGTCCAAATCCTGTTCCTACAAACAGGAACCTGATTTCTCTGAGAGGTAGACTACTAAGCCTAGCGCTTCCAGTGCGGGCTCCCCTCTTTTGGAACAGCCAGGCCCACAAGGTGAGGGTGGCAAAGAATGATAAAAGCTTGACATTTGTTCTGGCCTTTGGGAATGGATTATTTGTAGTTATCAGGGCCAGAACAGCTATTACTGTTTTAGGCTTATACGCTGCTTTGAGTCCCAAAGCTGCTCGGTCAATTAAATAAGCCAGAGAATAAATGAAAGTCTAATGAGGAGCATTCCATGGCTGGAGAGGTTTGGAGAGGTTCCAAGAATTGGTCTGCAAGCTTCTTAAAAATCTCAATCCTATCCTTCTCTTGCAGCTTTTTTAAAAGTAAGAAAATCCAAGAATTACTTACAGGTGAAAC